CATCCATCCATCCATCCATCTATCTATCTATCTATCTATCTATCTATCTATCTATCTATCTATCTATCTATCTATCTATCCATCCATCCATCCATCCATCCATCCATCCATCCATCCATCCATCCATCCTTACTTTCCTCTGTCAACTCCTGAGAAATTATTTTTGGAGGCTTTGCCAGTAGGAGAAGGGGGAAAGTTCAGGTGAGGAGAGAGTTTTCTACAATAAGAGAAAGCCCCACTTAGAGCTCCTGAGAGCTCTAGTTCCTGTCACTGTAAATCAGCTTCAGAGTGATTCTTCAATCACAGCTTACCCAGAAATAAAGTGAACAGAGAACATAGTGTGGAATCACATGGACACAAAGACAAGTCAAGAATGATGCAAATACTGTGTGTGAAGGAACGTGTTTAAGAATACAAGTTGAATTATACCCCAGGACACATTTCCTTTCATTTCTAACATTTGGGATGCTGTTTCATCATTCCAGCTCAAAAGCATCTCCGTTGCTAAACCTGCCCTGGGCCTTTTCTGCCACTAGAATTTATTGCAAAAACATATAGGTAGCTGGGTACTGTAATCAGGCAACAGAGCAAGGCTGTTTCAGAATGGCTCTCTATTGGGAGAAATTTGGGCTGAGTGCAAGTAGTTGTAAGGAACTGGTTTCTTCTGTTTAGAATGAGGACAAGCTAGAGTTGCCACTAACATTTTTTCCAGTGAGAAATTCAGAGTAAAATCTGCTGCATAGCTGTTGGAAAAGTTAAAGATTTTGAGGTATTATCTACATCCATAAACTGAGCAGGCATATAAATCATGTATTCACACACACACACACACACACACATGAAAATGTAAGAGAAAACACATGTGTAAACAGGGGGAAATTGTTACCCACTCAGTCCTATTGGAATATGAAGTACATCAATCTAAATATTCTTCTATTCTAAAGAAAATATTTCTAGCATTTGGTTTATCTCCAGCTTCTGGCTCAAGAAAAATCTCTTCTGCAATACAGAATCACAAAAAACTGCTGGTGTCACACAATTCATCTGACTCTATTGTTTGAGCATTAAAAAGGATTTCTATTACTAGAAAAAAAAATATTTACACTTCTCAAGGATTTGGTTCATACCTGATCTACCATCTCTCTGTATATCAACATGATACCATTCTCCATCATTAGCTTTCCTCTGAGTTGCCTTTACTTTGACAGTTCCAGAGCCCATATCAAGAAGAAGGTAGAGATTTCCATCCAAGAGTTCTACTGCAAAGAAATCCACTTTGGTGTTCTTCTGGCTTCTGGAATCCTTCCTTTCCTGGGGTTTACCATGAGTGAAAAGAATAAGGCCATTGGGCTCTGTAGTGCGGAAGTCAAAAGAGATAGACCCCATTCGCTTGGTGTTCCACTTCGGCAGACTGATGTAGGCCTCAGGATTTTCAAAATTGATTGGGTCCAATGTGGCCACATTCTCACATGTGAATTTCACCTCCCCGTAGATTTTCATTTTTGTGTCACCAATCCTTGCCAAACGAGATAACTCCAGACGAATATCATTATTTTTATAAACAACCTATCCAGGAGAGGGAAAAGAATCACACATCAATCCAGAAAACAATGCATACGTTAGAAAGATACACCTAAAAAAGCATTTAGCATTGGAATATGACTGAATGTGATTTTCAGTTAGAATTTAATATTCAAAGAAATGCAATAAGCCCAGGTTAATTCTAAGTTCTTGAGTAGCATTAGAAATATGCTTTTAAGGATTCACAGTTCTCTAGGTGAGACTCCTACTCATTTCTGCCCATTCTTTTTCTTTCTTCTTCAGGGGTCAATCCATGGGATCACATAGAATTGAGGCCCAAAGAAGCTTATCCTTCTCCTTATTTTGTCAGCGCTTGCTTGCTCAGAGCAGATGAAGTCTTAGGAGTATAAAGGAAGAGGCTCAAGAATTGAAAATTCTAGAAGTTGACAGTGGTACCTTCTTCTAAGGTAGAGCCCTTAGCAGGTGCTTTTTACTACTGACTCCCAACCTTGGGTCTAAGTCTATCATGACTCCATCAAAAGCCTCTGGAAGTGATATAGTATAGAATAAAGACTATGTACTTAGTATTATGCACAGATAAGTGGCATGTTTAATGAGTCACTATTCTCATTCAGGAATTTTGTATCATCATCAGTTTTGAATCTTGTGCAATGAAAAGGGCAACATAAGATATTCATAAACTCTTCAATTTTATTTAATATTGTTAAATGTCATCCAACTATGTAGTTCAGCAAACAGCTTCACCTGCTTTGATCAAGAGCAGATCTAACAACAAGCAAGCAGTAACCTGAGATACAAAATAATAATCAATTTCTCTGGCTGAATAATATACAAATTGGTATGAATAACATTCCAAGATTCCAAGTGTGTGTTCTGAAAATAAGCAAAACTCAGTGAATTTATTACTGCTGGTTGAGGGGAAAGAACATGGAATGCCCATCACAAGTTCATAGACCTTCCTTACACTGAAAAACATTTCCCAGGTAACACATTTGAATTCTGAAGGTACTGAAAATCTTGGACTGAATACATTTGTATGCCTTGCAGCCACAAAAATGTATTGCCATTCATGAACCACGTGGCTTAACAATTAATATGGGAATACATCTTAAATAACTCAGAAAAATATACTAGGCACAACATTGAATTTATACTTTGGAGATCTGGATTCAAAATGCTACTCAGACCTGAAGATCAGTGGGTCACCTTGTCCAAATCATAAATTCCCAGTTTAATTCATCTCCTACGGATGAGTTGAGGATAAAATGGAAATGCTTCACGGACATCTCCACATACCCTCTGCTCTCTGGAGTCAAAGCAATATGCATGTATGATCAATTAAAAAATCCATGTCCCAAATTGTCTGCTCCCAGTACTACACGGTGTGCTTGTTCAATTGTTTAATGGGCATATGTACAGAAAGAGAAACACTCCTTCCCTCCTGTGAACACTTGAACCCCGAAACATAATCATGCAAAACATCTGCTACCCATATTGGGCAGGTATTTCAATTTCTTTATTTTTCTCACAACTATAAATACTTTATGTAGGTTACTATAGACCACCATATGGGAGCAAGGAGAACAAACAGCATGAGAAGCCCTGCAGAAGCACTTTTAAACCTTTTATTTTATAGCATAATTATCATGATGTTTAACTGAACCTTTCCTTGAAGCTCCTGTTAAATAAAAATTGTGTGGCATAGCTTGACCTTAAACATACAATGAGATTTGTATTTTTTTATTATTATTATTATTAAAGCTGAAATTATATATGAACTGGCCTTTGACTCAAACTAATTGTTACAATACAAAAATTATCTGTGATAACAAGCTCTGCTTGTGTACCCCAATGGGATGTAGCTAATGCTAAGAAATGAGAAGGAGATTTCATCCTCCTCAGATAAATGCCAATGTTTTCAGAGGTATATTGGAGAAGAACATTAGAGAAAACAGAAGTATTTTGGAGAAAAAATATCTTAGGGGCACCCCACCAACCCTTCCCTCAGACTAACGCAGAACAAGTATGCAGAGAGTGTATCATCCACATGCCCCAGTTGCCATAGCATGAGGACAGCCAACTTACAGTTTGCTGAGGACACAACCTCATAATTAAGCCTCCATCTTGTTGCTGGCTCATTACTAAAGCATAGTGAAGTCAGGCTAAAGTATTCGTCATGAAACCAGTGTTTTGAATCTTTTGCTAGCAGAAGGCTGCCTTCTACATGGACATTCTAGGTCACATGAAGAAGTCTTTGGAATTTGGTAAGCTGCTGGGCTCCAACTGGCCTGCTAGCTGATGGGCTCTGTGCCTCCATAGCTATTTTTGCTATGGTTGCTAGAGGGACCAGACATGCCACTGGTACACTTTCTGTTGGTACATTTTTGTTGTTCAGATGTAAGAATATCAATCATGTGGAACACTGACTACAGATCTACTAAGAGGTTGATATTCCCATTGGTAAGCAAAAATAAAGAAGGCAGAACCTTACCCAACAACTTTTTCTCACATGGATGGATGAGATAAGGGAGCAAGTGAAGAACTGCTGCAGAGGACAGCCTGAGAGTACTCCTGTGTGTGTGCAATGTGTATGTGTATATAGAGAGAGTGAGAGACATCTGAAAATGGAGAGGCATTCAGAAATACTCTTCTCTTCCCTCCCTCCATCTGTGAATGTGAGGCATAAAAGTCCATTGGCTGCATTCCTCAAGCCATGACTGCCTTTCAGTACCGAGGCAGTGTGAATCCTGGTGTATTTATTCAGAAGCAAAATAGAGACATTCCAAAAGCAGATGTGCATAGAAACAACTTAAGAATGGTGGTATTGCTGGGAAGTTATGCCTGAGTGAAACAACATTTCAGCTGAACACCCAAACCTCATCCTGCCACATGTTCAGGGAAGCACTTGGTGGGTGGTTTTTCCAGTCATAGACAATGCTGGGTAGGAGAGGAAAGAACAAGGAAGCTGTCAATCAATTGCCCTGAGAATACCTTGAACTGAACTGTGCATGAGCAGCAACACCGATTGGCCCAGTTCCTGGAATGTGGCAAGGATAAGCTGCAGGGCCAGCGCTTTCTATAACAGCAGGCATTCCTTCTGCCTCAGGGTTAGGAGGAAAACACATTGCCACAGACATGAGGAGGAGCCCTGTAAGTACCTTACAGAATGTAATGATGAATCGTATAGGAGGATTCTATATAACCATCACATCTTTTCTAATGGCAGGATTTTATCTACAGTTAAGGACAGGCCTAGTTAGTGCTTGGAAGGAGGGCCCTCTGGGATCAGTAGGGCTATTGGCTAGATTGGAAAGTTGAAAAACATCCCAGAAAATGACAATGGCAAACCACTGATAAGAAAAGCACACCGATGCATCCTTGTAGTCACCAGGAGTTAGATTACACTCAAAGCAGACTTTACCCTTATTCCTAATGCCGCCACTTTGCCTTTAGCGCAACTGGGCAGGAAACTGTAGGCTGGCCCAACGTGTCCTGTAAGAATCTGAGGAACAGCCAGTCAATCTGAGAGGGATAGCTCAATTCTATCAATGTTGACACCAAAGAGGGCTGTACTGTATTCATGAGACTTAAACCTCCAAAATGTGCATAAGTTCACAACAATTTCACCTTGTTGTGAACGTATGACATTTTTGAGTAACAGGCAAAGGAAGTCCTACTTTATCAATGGGGCTTCCTCCCAAAGAAGCATGGGGAGGATGACAAGCATGCACCTCAACCCCATATAGCTTTACATGGAAATGAGTCCCACAGAGCTGAATGGAATAGTTACTGAGTTCTCACAAATGACTATTGAAAGTGGGCTGCATAGCATAATGCTTCCTTCCAAACTCCTTACTAGTCTACCCAACTTTTCTGTGTTACAGAGTTTTGATTTTTAATCAACAACAAAATTCTTTCCAGTCCATGGTTTTCTTTTTTTAAATCACCCTATCAACAGCAGCAACAATGACATTGTAGTCTTAGACTTAGACTCCCTATCTGAATCAATTAAATATGAGAAAGTGGAACTGTGCCATATCTGGCTGTAGCCACTGGATATTTCACTTCATGTTGGGTAGAATTAAGAAGAAAACCTCATTTCCTTGGGTGTGCTGATGGCCGTGTTCCCTTGGGTCATGTTCAAATGCAGCTATACAGCATTCCACTAGATGTCCCCGTTGCCTTGTAAGCTCACCACCAAAGGTGTATGATGGGTGAACTTTGAAGGGCTGTGTGTGTGTGTGCATGTGTATTAATTTCTGTTCACACACATTTAAAGGTTTACAGTTGCTTGGAGGAATTCTGCCTCCATTGCCCATCAGTGCCTATTCAGTTACTCTGTCTTTTAAGTTCAATCTACACCACTGCCCAGGAGGAAAATACAAGGCAAGTAGAGGCTGCTTTTCTTTGTTTCCCCATGCTCTCATACACGAGGAGAAGGCAGATAAACAAGCACACAGAAAAGAAGTAGGGTGTCAGGTAGTATCAGGTTTTTCACTTAACAATTAATTCAGCTTTTGGGAGACCAGGTTTTATAATATTGACCATCCATTGTTTTGTGGTGCCTGTCTTAATGAAAACGTTCATGTGTGCTCATGCATTTATTTCTTACTGCTTTGACACTAACCTAAACTGATGGGCAATTAGAGCAGAAGATCAATTATCTGTACCTTGCTTATCTAAATGTCTTGGCTGATTCACTATGTATACTGACTACATGTATGCAAGTCACTGAATTCCTTTGCAAACATCACTCCCATTTATCCAAACGTCTAAATAACTGAAAGTTTTTTAACGTTCCCCCGATGCTCCTACTCAAACAAATCAAGTTTTAGTGAGCATCAGGAGATCTATTCCCAATAATCAAATTACCCAATACGGGGTGGTGGGGAATCTCTTTCATATAATTCAGGTATAGAAAGAGAAGGGACATTGATCGTCTTCTAATGTAAATGTTCGGGTAGAAACTGGTTTAGCTTTGATTGGAAAAGCATAGCATTAGGTTTATTAGCTCTATGGCTTGT